GCATCCATCGATCAATAACTTTCAGCTTGGCTCCAAAACCCCCAGTCCGCCTGGGCCCCCCAACACCCCCACTCCCCACTTGCCCATCTTCCGTCAACATGGCTTCAGAGGCCCTGGCGCCCAGGCAGGTAGCGTTTGAAAACGCTCACAAGGAAGACCATGTGATAACGGGAGTAACACGAGTGGTAGTGGTGATGGATTGGCATGCGAAGCCAAATCAAGCGATCATTGGGATTTCGGAGAACGCAGAAAGGCAGCCGAGCAAGGACTCTGAAGGTGAGCTGCAGTTTGCAACAACATGTGCCACCCGTGGGGACTTACTTTCCGATTTCTTCCATGACAAACACATCCACATACATGCTGACACTGCATGATGTTCTACCATGAATTCGGGGTGACTGAAATGTCCTGGATACAAACGTGTGTAGAGTATCGAACTGATGAGGCCGCTGCCAGAAGCACCAAGCAAGCACACGTGTTTTTGAGCGGTTGCCCCTCGGCCCCCTCCCAGCAGCCCTAGTGCTTCCCTCCGAACCCCCAGATCCATGTTTGCCCATCAACACTCTACGTTCTATTCTTTTCCTTTCGCTGTAACGCCATGTATACAGACTGCCTCGCACTTATTGGGACATACCAGGCCTCCCACCCATTCTGATGCAATCCCCCTTCTTTCAATCACCAGTCCATCCGCCTAAGCCCAACGCAGACCTCTTCCCATCCCTCCCCTTCCAATCCAGGGCTTGCTCAAAGTTGCCCCTCCTCCCCCCAAACAACCTTAACGCTTCCCCCCCTTCCAGGCCCCCACCCACCCCGACCCCCCCCCAAAAACTAAGCGACCCCAAACCTTTATGTGGCCCGCGCCGCGCTTGTTTCAGGCCCCCCTCCCAGCAGCCCTGGCGCTCCCCCTCAGGCGCCCCCCATCCATGTTTGCCCATCAAGGGTCTATGCTCGACTGTATTCCTTTCGCTGTAAGCCGCAGGCCATGTGTGCAGACAGCTGGGATATGCACTTCTGCCTCGTACTTACTTACTGGGACATACCTCCCTCATGCCGGGGTCGGCGGCAGCCCTCCCGGACCCCATCCCGAGACTGCTCCAAAACTCGCACGCGCTCCAACAGC